CCTGGATTTCTCCAGTCCAAAATACAGAGCCCCTGACAGGGACCTAGAAATCCCAGCATCCTCTTCCAAAATTCTCACCTAGGCTGGGCCTCAGCGTAATCCTATTGAGCATGATTTTTAAGTCATCACCTCTCTTCAGAACAATATAAGGTTCTCATCATTGACCCAACCCAGGGCACCACTCCCCCCAACCCATGCATGCATCCACTGGGACCCAGATGGGCTCACCACAGCTTTGTGCAGGAGAGCAGGGCACCAGGAAGGGCCTGAGCTTCAGCTCACCAGGGGCTGAGCACCTGGCTGAGGGACACTGTCCCAGGGCCAGTGGGCCTCATGCAATTCTTCCTCCAGGGTCACCATCTGGAGTGGTGGGGGACAGTTGTCCAAACACGGCCTCACGCCTCCATGCAGGAAAGTGGGCAGGGCATGCTGGCTCACAGATGGTCTCCCTCCCTGGATTCAATACATGGGATTCATGTAAAACAGTGACGGTTATGCACGCAAGGAAACCTTGGCCCTCCCTGCCCCTGAAACCTGGAAGGAAAGGGTAGGCGGGTCATGGGATTCCAGCAAGACGCCCAGGCTGCACCCTATTGTAGGACCCTGGAGCACCTCCACTGCCCATGCCAGCTCCCCCACATGACCTGGCCACACTTGGACCACTGGGCAGGGGCAGGGCCATCAATCAGCTCATGGCAAACCAAGGAGGCTGGACTGGATGCCATGTGCCGCTGCAGAACTGGCAGGCACATAGCCTGTTCCTGGGTGTGGAAGGCACCCGTCCAGGCACCCTCTATAAGCCTACACCAGAAATCGCATCCTGGAGTCCCAGGGCCACGTGCCTTCTCTGGTGGGTCCCCATTCATGCACCGCGTACCTCCCAAACACAGAGCCAGGCCACAATCGGCCAATCAAGGGACACATGATATCTCCTCCTTTTCTTTGGCTCAAGACTCCACCACCCTGTAGGTGACCCCGTGTCTCAGAAGCAGCCGGGGCAGCAAATTGCCAGCACAGGTCCCTTGACAGTGGACCTTCCACCACAGGATGCCACCCTTCTAGCCACTCCACTTTGGGGAGGGGTGACCTCCAATGGGACGCAGGCTGCACCCTTGGCCCACGATTCCCAGGGCAAACCACCAGGTGCCGGCCAGAGCTCACCCATGACCCAACCCCAGTGAGGCCGCACCACCCCCACCAGCCTCAAGGAGGCACCAGTGGGATGGCCCATTGCTCAACAGGGTCTGCCCCATTCTGGGCCCAGGGTATGGCCCAACTCTTGAGTCTTCACGGCCTGACTCCGTAAGCCCGATCACCCACACCCAACCCCCTGCAAGCCTCGGGGAGGAAGAGCTCCTGTATAAGACTCCTGGCCCCAGAGACCCTGTGGATGCCCTCATGTGACCTGGGCAGTCCTCCAGACCTGACCTGTGCACCAAGTCTCAGCTGAGATCTGTACTGCGTTGGGTTGAAGGAACCCTCTCCTGCCTGAACCTCTGTTACTCCTGCAGGGTTTCAGGGAAGGCATCTTTCTTGGGATCGATTTCCAAGGAAGCCACCCTCCTGGAGAAACTATCTGTCCCTGGTGGGGATTTAGGTTGGCTCCCTGAGGAAACCCTCGTGGCCTGAAGGGTGACCCTCAGTGGACCCCCATGGCCTGGCTCATGGGCCATGACCCCAGCAGGATCCACTCACCTATGCCGCTCAAGGCCAGGGGCCCGCCTGGGCAGAAGAGTTCACTGAAAGACACAGGGGAGAACGGGGGCTCAGGGAGGAGCCACCAACCTGCCCCAGCCCCTGGGAGCCAGTGTGCCAACACCAAGCCCGCATGAGGAACCTGGGCTGCCACACAGAGGAGCACAGAGACAGGGCTGGGCACCCCTAAGGTGCTCTTCAGGGCCTCAAGGACTCCAGCCCAAAATACTGTGGCCCTGCCAGGGGACCTTGGGATCCCAGCATCCTCTTCCAAAATTCTCACCTAGGCTGGGCCTCAGCGTAATCCTATTGAGCATGATTTTTAAGTCATCACCTCTCTTCAGGACAATATAAGGTTCTCATCATTGACCCAACTACGGCACCACCTCCCCACACATGCATCCAGCGGGACCCAGATGTGCTCACCACAGCTCAGTGCAGGAGACCAGGGTGACAGGAAAGGCCTGAGTTTCAGTGCTCCAGGGGCTGGGCACCTGACTGACGACCACTCGCCCTGCGACAGTGGGCCCAACGAAAGTTTTCCTCTGGTCTCACCATCTAGGGGACAGGAGGTGGGCCTGTGTCCAAATGGAACCTCACGCCTACACACGGGAAGGGGGTGGGGGATGCCAGCTCACGACTGCTCTCCCACTATGGACCCATGTGATGGGATCCATGTGAAACACTGATGTGTCATGGATGCAGGGGAACCTTGGCCCTCCCCACGACTGAACCCTGGAAGGACAGGGCAGGTGGGTCACTGGACTCGGGCAAGATGCCCTAGCTACGCCCTACTGCAGGCACCTTGAGCACTTCCACTGCCTACACTAGCTGCCTCTCACAATTCCAGGGCTGTACTGGCCCCTGGGGTGCAGGCCAGGGCCACCTACCCTCTCACAGTCAACCAAGGAGGTTGGCCCAGATGCCATGAACTGCCGATCTGGCAGTTGCATAATCTGCTCCTGTGTGTGGAGGGCGAGAACCCAGGCCCCGCTCCACACCACACCAGAAATCGCAGCCTGGGGCCCCAGGGCCTCATGTGTTCTCTGATACATCCCCATCCATGCCTCACACAACACCTCCCACACACAGAGCGGGGCCACACTCAGTCAATTGGGGGACACCTGGTGTCTTCTCCTTTACTTGGACCCAAGATCCCGCCCCCCTAGAGGTGACCCCATGGCTCAGATGCAGCCTGGACCACAAATTTCCAGGACAGGTCCTTCCACAGCAAGTCTCCCCACCTCAGGAGGACAGCCTTCCTGTCACTGCCGACAAGGAAGGGGTGACCCCCAGTGGGACATGGACTGTACCCTTGGCCCAAAGCCCACCAATTCCAGGGCCGGAATGCAGCACCCTCAGGTGCCAGCTAGGGCTAGTCTTGACACACCCTTAGGGAAACAGTGCTGCCCTACACTTGGCTCAAAGAGGCACCACTGGGATGGCCCATAGCTTAATAGGGTCGGTCCCACTCAGGGCCGTAGGTTTGGAGAGATCCTTGCCAATCCGAAGCCCAACCCCATGGGCAGAATCGCACACACCTCTCCAAGGTCAGAGGGCCCCTGCAAGACCCCCTTGGCACCCAAGAGCCCTTGTGGCCACCCGCATGTGGCCTGGTCATCCTAGAGGCCTGACCTGAGCCTGAGTCTTAGCGGGGCACTGCCCCGCATGGGACTGAGGAAACCCTTTACTGTCTGGACCACTGTAACCCCTGCAGGGCTTCAGGGAAGGTATCCTTCTTGGGTCTGATTCCCAAGGAAGCCGCCCGCCTGGAGAATCCATTCCAAGTGGGTATTCAGGACAGCTCCTGAGAAAACTCTTGCGGCTGAAGGCTGATGCTCAGCAACCCCACGCAGCCTGGCTTATGGGCCATGACCCCAGCAGGATCC